GACGGCAACCAACCACAATAAAAGCAGCAGCAACAACAACAACCACAACAACAACAACAACAACAACAACAACAACAACAACAACAACAACAACAACAACAATTACTAGCACGTGGGGACACTCCGTTCTCACCAGTGCCAGGGTTTTCATAGGAGGCGGGCAATACCCCCACTTTGTGGGGGGGCCGGTTCAAGCTCTACCAAATTTCCAAACGACTCTTCGCCACCACCCACACCCAGCTTCCCGCCCTATGACGTTCGGACACTTCACTTCGTGGCATGCGGACGACCGTGGCTACTATTCAGGGCCCCGCGGCCGACGACGACGGCGTGCGCGCGCGAAGAAAAAACGAATGTGTCCCGCATGGTATTATTTGACAGGGATGATGGCCCTGGCAGGTGCGCAACCGTTGTTGCAGAAGTTCGAAAAAGTTGCTCGCAAAAGCCCGTTTGACAGAAATGTTTAAAAAGTGTTGGGTTTCCTACGAATCCGCAAGAGCGCGCGGGATGAAATTTTGACATTTTTTTTTGAAAAACCATTGGTTTTTTGATGTTTTTATGTTAAAATCGCTACGAAAACTAAGGTTTTGGAAGGATTTCGTCTTGCGCGCGCGAATGTCCACTTTACCTTATTTTTTGCAAGGGATTCTTGAAGTTTGGTTATGTTAGAACAAGAAATGTCCACTTTAGCTTATTTTTTGCAAGGGAAAACCGATCGTAACAACACAACCGGATCCGGACCAACCCGTTTTGCCTGAGACTTCCTCACGAAAATGATGAAAATGAGGCTGCGGCCTAGGCGCGGCGGGGGGGTCGTGCACCAGGGGTCCCAACAATAATTATTCTTTAGAAGTAATAATGTTCAACAACAACAACAACAACAACAACAACAACAACAACAACAACAACAACAACAACAACAACAGCAACCGTCATTGTAAGACGGCTCGCTATCCCAAACCCTGGGCACCGCCCTGGGGTGCACCTTCCTCACCCGCCGCGCGGAAGTGGTGCAGCCCGTGGTGCATGGGGAAGAGAGGACGGATCGAAGGGGGAGGCAGAAGGGCGGAGCACGGGATTGACAGGAGGGGGCCCAGGAGCAGAGAGCACGCGGCGGATCCCGGCCGGCCCATCGGGCGGGTGGGCCCTGACGAGCGGGTCGGGAAGGCAGGCCCGAGCGGCCAGGTCGCCACGGCGTGCTGCGGAAGTGTGGGTCCCCCAACTCCGTCTCCATGGGTCTCGAGGGGGGCGCCGCGAGGCGTTAGGGCGTCCAATATGCTCCAAGATGGCTCCAAGCCAGCTCCTGGATGGTCCCAGATAGCCCAACATGGCCCCCAAGATGGCGTCAGATGGCCCAAGATGGCGGTTTGGAGAGTTGATCTGCCCCCCGATCAAATTCCCCCGAGGTCTGGACGCCATCCCACCTCGCGGCGACGATGCGTTAGGGCGTCCAGGATGGCTCCAATATGACCCAGCGTAGCCCAAGATGGCCTCCAGGATGGCACAATGCCGTGCCCAGGTATGGGAGCTGGCAGGGCGCGGGAGGGGAAGAGGGACTTGCCATCGCTCGGACGCCAATTCCCCGTGCACTGTTCGGTGTCGTGCGTCTTTTTTGTGCTCGCAGGGTGAGCCAGGACGCTCCTCGATGGCCCTCGCCAAGAAGATCTGCGCACGTCCGAGCGATGCCGGGGGGAAGGGGGAGAGGAGGGACGAGAGGGGACAGGGAGGAACGAGGAGAGAGAGGAGAGAGAGGAGACGGCGGGGGAGACCGGTGCGGTCGCGCCACGTCGCCCCCTCTCCCGCACATCCCTTCCCCTTGCGATTGGTGTGTGTCTCTCTCCGTCCGCCGACGCGTGTCGTGGCGGACGAGGGAAGCCCAAACAGAGGACCCCGTATCGTGGTATGTGCAGACGGACCCCATGGTTGGGCGAGCAACGACATATGTACATGTACGCCCTCCGCGGTCTTGCCTGCACGAACGTCCGCGTTGACACGCACTCCAGGGAAAGCTAACCGCGTACGTGTACATATGTTGCTGGCCTCTGAATGGTGTCATGTGCACACGGAGCAGGAGAAGCCGCGTACGTTGGAGGAGGAGGTCGGCGGGTGAGCAGGAGGACGAGCAGGAGAGGAGAGGAGGGGCAAGGCTGGTGCAGTCGTGCCATGTGCGACATGCTGACCTCGTCCATCCCGTCCGTTGCCATGAGGTTGAGTCCCTTCTTTTCGCAGAGCCGAATGTCGGAGAGATCATTGATCCCAAAGGTTTCAATACGTCCTGAAACGAGGCAAACGCTCAAGCGGGAGCACTACTATTGCTGGTGCAGTAGTACGGCCAGCGCCGTGGCGAGAGCGTCGCTGTGCGGGGCCGAGGCTCTATGGAAATCTCTACACGTAACTCTTGTTGATGATGGCGTACGGCCAGCGCTGCGGCGAGAAAGTCGTTGACGGAGCTCCATGGAAATTTAGATACGTGGTAAGAATTTCAGCGGAAGCACCACTTTGGCTGATGAAAGGTACGGCCAACGATACGGCTGTTCCGTGTGGCGGAGGCTCTGTGGAGATCCTCAAATGTGGCCAGCGCTGCAGTCTGAGCATACCTTTTCCAGACGGGCGAGAGCGCTCTGGTGGGAAAACGCATACCAACATCCACTGCTGGGCCATCATGTGTGACAAAGACCACATACGGGATACAGGGCGGCATACAAGTGGCACGCGTGCCATGGCTCTTGCACGTAGAGGAATGAGGGGGGAGGAATAGGAGGACGAAGGGACAAAAGGCGGGGGCGGTCCCTGGGCTGCTGTGGAACACTGGGGGGGGTCGGGGCGGAAGGGACACTGGTCGGAGAGGGCACTGGGCTAACGGGGAACGCTAGGAGGTCGGGGCGGAGGGGGCACTGGGCGGAAAGACCGGGCTGCTGGGGAACTTTAGGCTGCTGGGGAACACTACGCTGCTGAGACATTGGAGGAGAGGGGGGCGGGGGGGACGGCGCGGCGCGGCGCGAACGTAACATAGTCGCGGCGGAGGAGACACTGGTCGGAGAAGGCACTGGGCTGCAGGGGAACACTGGGAGCCCGGAGCTGAGGGGGCATTGGGCGCAGAGGGCACTGGGCTGCGAGGTAAAACTGGGCTGCTGGTGAACGCTGGGATGCTGGGGAACGCTGGGGGGGGGGGGGGGGGCGCGGCGCAAAGATAAAGTGTCCGAGCGGGGGAGCGCACTAGGCGGGAAGGGCACTGGGATGCTGGGGCACTGTGCGGAGAGGATACTGGGCGGCTGGGCTGCTGGGGAACACTGGGCAGCTGGGGAACGCCGGAGAAAGGTGGCGGAGGGGTGCGAGGCGCGGAAATACAACTTTCGATGCGGAAGAGGCAGTGGGCGGAGAGGGCATTGAGCTGATGGGGAACGCCGAGGAAGGGGGAGGAAGGGGAGGAGGTCGGTAAGGTGCTGGAAAAGGGGGGCGGGGGGGGGGCGCGGAAATATGATGGCTGGAGCTCTAGAGACAGTGCGCAAGAGAATCAACATGTAGGGGCGGAAGGCGTCGGGACGGAGAGGGCACAGATGCTGGGGAACGCTGGGCTGCCGGAGAACGCTGGGCTGCCCGGGGAACGCTGGGCAATTGGGGAACGCTGGGGAGGGGGAGGGCGGTGCGAGGCGGCCACAAAATGGTCGGGGTGGATGGGGCGGGGCGGATGGGCGGTGGGCGGAGAGGGTACTAGGCTGCTGGGGACCGCTGGGGGTTGGGGGGGCGGGGGGGGGGGCAGTGCGACGCGAAAACAAACTGGTTGGGGCGGAGGGGCGGGGCGATGATGGCAATCGGTTGCTGGGGAAACCTGCGCGGGCACTGGGCTGCTGGGGAATGCTGGGCTGGGCAGCGCTGGGCTGCTGGCGAACTCTCGTGGTGGAGGGGGCGGTGCGACGCGATAATAAAATTGTCGGGGCGGGGGGGCGATGGGCGGAGAGAGCACTGGGCTGCTGGGGAACGCTGGGCTGCAGGGGAACAGTAACACTGGGCTGCTGGGGAACGCTGGGGAGGGGCGGGGGGGGGTCGGGGTGGTGCGACGCGAAATATATTGGTCTGGGCGGAGGGGCGGGGCGATGATGGCACTGGTTGCTGGGGAACGCTGGGTTGCTGGGGAACACCGCGCTGCTGGGACACGCTGGAGGGAGGAGTGGGCGGGGAGGAGGGCGGTGCGGCATGAAAAAAAACAAAAATAAACTGGTCGGGGCGTAGGGGGGCAAGGCGAAGGGGCACGGGGCGGAGGGGGGGCTGGTCCGCTGGAGAACACGTCGCTGCTGGGGAGTGCTGGGCTGCTGGGGAACGCTGGGCGGGGGGAGGGGGCGGTGCGACGCGAAAAGGAAATGGTCGGGGCAGAGGGGGTCGGGGTGGAGGGGGCACTGGGTTGCTGTGGAAGGCTGTGGCGAGGGCGGCGCAGTAGGGTGCAGAAGCCCTGCAAGCCGAGTGGACGCGCTGGCAACACAAAAACCGAACGGTCAAACGCTGTCGAGGGCGGCGCCAGGCGAGCGAGAGAGAGAGAGAGAGCGACCAAAGGCCGATGCCAAGATGGCCATGAAAACCGACGACGAGGAAGGCTCCAGTATGCGACTGCGGCGTGTCGTGCACTGATTGCGACCATAGTTGTTGTGGACGGCTCCTGCACCGATGGAAAGCCAAGTGTTCAGGTGCGCCGTCGAGGTTGCAAACCACTTGCCACTTCCGAAAAACAAGCTGGTCTGAGCTCTGGACTGGACCCAGGGTGCAAGATAATAGAGACAATACCCGGGGAGGGAGGAGAGAAGAATCCATATTGGATGGAGCAGGGAGGGGACAGGAGGTCCGAGGGAGCAGGCAAGAGAGAGGCGGAGGAGGGCGAGCGGGAGGAGGGCCGAAGCGGACGAGCAGTGATGATCGAACTACGAACGGCATGCAAGCACGGGGGGCGACGACCGACCCAAACACCTCCGAGCAGCCCCGATCCGGCAGCGCCCCCCGCCCCGAGGCTCCGTAGCGCTCGGAGGAGAGCTCCTCCCAGGTGTTCGCGTCGTCGCGCCTCTGCGAGGGCGGTCGGTGGCCCCAGACCGCCCGCGTCTTGGCAAAAGTCAGGACCGAGGGGCTGACTGCGGGCCCGGAGGGGCGGGCGTCCGTTAACAAGGGAGCAGCGATCGGACGGTGAGGAAACGTGCACCCTGCGTGCACACGTTGGGCCCGCGGTGCCAGTTTGGCGGGCCGTTCAAGGCCCCCATCGAGGCCACGTTCCTGCAGCCCGCGAGCCCTCCACGTTGATTGCCCCCGCTGCCCTCCGCCCGAAGGGGGGGCCGGGGGAGAGAGTTCAGGGGCCCGGGTGCTGAAAAGCCAAGACGTCGGAGGTCCCAGGGAGGGAATGGAGGCCTTCCTACTAAGAGTCCTAGCATTCGGCCGGGCATGTCCCCCACGCAGGCGGATGTTGCACGGAAGTGTAAAAGTTTCTATATCAACAGTCCCAAATTGTTTATTTGTTTGAATCAAAATGTCGTCCCCAGATTATGCTTGGCTGTTTTGGCATATTCCTCCTGTAGAAAGACGTGCCCGACTAAATCCTTGCACGTGGGATCCACGATCGCGCCGCATCGCCGACGCACCGCCGACGCATCGCAGATGCATCGCCGATGCACCGGCGGCGTCGGCGATACATCGGCAAAACCATCATAAAGAAAATTAAGATCCGCATCGAGACACATCGGACATGCATCGATGATGCTGCGCGACTTTCCGACCCCAACTGCTCGGTCCTCATGGATAAAGGGGAGGGGGCGCAGCTTGGCCCGCGTACTCTTTAACGAGCCAACAGGGGCCCAAGAGCAAGAGAAAGCGAGAAGACAACGAAGAGACGATACGACAGACAGCAGGGGGAAAGAAGAAGGGGGAAGGGGGAGGGGGATACGCGAACCAGCAGCATAGCAGGGCAAGCGGGCCGACGCGGCTGGCGGCCGCCACGCCGCGCTGGCGCGGCGGCGTCGCCACCTCGCCGCCTGCCCCGTAGGCCGAGCCGGCGCCGTCTTCTAGGTCGGCCCAGGCCCAGGCCGACGAGCGCAGGCCAGTGGCGGGCCGGCCCCGCCAGGACGCCGCGGGCGCCGGCGCCTGCCCCCGCCCCTGCACTGCGGGCCCGCCGCCGAAAGCCTCGCACTCACCGCCGAAAGCCAGCTTCCTGGTGAAATCGCCCCATCGAGCTCCACCGTCGTCGGCGGGCCCTTGTCCTCATCCAACCAATCCGCGGGCGGACCAGCCCCAGCGACCTAGGTGCCAGGACTCAGCGGCCCCACGCGGCGCAGGAGCACCACGCCCCCTCCGGCCGACCGGCGCCTTTCGCGGCAGCGGGCGTCGCACCGTGGAAACGTCGACTGGGGCGATCCTGGCTGGAGCGACGGTGGCGATATCGACGTCTGGCTCGACCTCGACATAGGCTGGAGGGTGCCGTCCTGCGTTGCCGAGAGGTGGCCCATGCGGGTTGTTGGACGGCGGCCCCAGTTGGAAGTCGCACCTTGCGTCGAACTCGGCGGCCTCCACGCGCATGTAGCCCAGCGCATGTCTGCGCTGTCATGTACAGGTCGCCCGCGTTGAAGATCAGGTCATCGCCGCGTGGAAACATGGCTCTGGCTCCTCGTGCAACCGGGACGCCCGTGAGGTCGGACAGCAGTGGCAGCGCTTCGCTGGAACGCAGGATGAAGTCCTCGGCGTCGCACGCGTTCTCGGCGCTTGTATTGGAGCGGATTGCTCTCCGCCCGGCGTCCACGAAGTCCGCCTTCTTGCAAATTTGGCGGGGCAAAATATTGTAGATTTGGATGGCGCGCCATCTCCTGTCCACGGGGTTCAGCCTGGGGTGGCTCGAAGTAGTTCAGGCCGTTCTCGGCCATCTCCTCGGCCCTGCCCCATGGCAACGCTGCGACGCGCGGGCCCTCCTGACTGTCATCATGTCCCTGTCGGCGACGTCGTGGCTGTTGCGCTGCATTGCTGCGCGGCAACGCGGCACGCGAGCTGGCCTCAGTGGCCAGTGGCCCGCAGGGCCTTCCGCGACAGGTGTAGCGCGGTTCCTGATGCCCCCCAATGAATCAAGAGGCGCTGGTGTGAGCCTCCATCATCAGTGCGTGGCGCGTCGCGCCCATGTAGCCCAACCCGCAGCGGTGGTTGCACGATGTCTTCGCCCATCCCCGAGAGGGGCTGGCCGGCATGAAGACGGGCTTCACGACCAGCGCTACGCGGGTATATTCCTGGGTGGGCACCGCTGAAGCGAGGCCCGCGATTTGTCTGGCACCCGTGCGGCTGGCGCCGCGAAGGACGGGTCGAGCCTGACGTCCTCTGGTGGCTGGTAGCCGAGGAGCCCCCTTCCTTTTCGGGGCCGCTGGCAATGCAGAACTCGCGGCTGGTCATCTTGCTAAAACTCGGGTGGTGCACTAGGCGCGGTGTCCAGTCTGCCGTGCTTCTAGGCCTGTGACAGAGGTCAAGCATTGTGTAAAAAAAGATTCGTCCCTTTGTATTGTTTACATCAGTGCGGCTCGCGAAGCGATCTTCGGTAGCCGGCCGAACAAACTAGAATATATGGTAGAGTCGCATGGGACGATTGCGTCGGTCACCTCTCATTGTAGATCCACTGGCAGTTCCATCGTCGTCCGAATCGTAGGTGGCGCCGAGGCGCGCGATGCGGCCTGGCAAACATGGACAAGCCTCGATCCCTTGAGCCAGATGAGCGCGGTGAAGGACATGATGTTGGAATCGATGCTCGACTCCACACAGGAATTTGCTGAGTTGATTTCTGGTTTTCTCCATGCTGAAGCCATGGCTGTGCAGCCAGGTGGGGGTGGACCTATCGCCCAGGCCAGGCGTACGACAACCTCTGATCAATGTACCTGAAGTTCCCGTCGAGGTATCACTTACCAAGGGACATGCCCCAGGTGAGGGCGTGTCTTACCAGGTAGCACAAGCCCTCTCCACCGCATGAATGACATTCAGTTGCCGTCGTTCGTGACGTGATAGGTTGTCCTCTCGCGTCTTCCTCCTATTAGCTCGTCAGTCGACGCCATCGTGCATCAAATAGGGCAGCTGCATCCCAGTTCAAACGTACGGAACAACCTACTCCGCGTAGCTCATGTTGTCGCTTGCTGTGCCTTTACAAGGGGACATGCCCCGCGCTGTGCCGCACCAAGCTGCAGGTGAATCCTTCCGTTTCCGTCGGAGCCGCCGATGCACCATGCAATCGGTGCTCTGGAAATCGAAGCAGGGTCCATGGGCGTGTGGAATACGATGTGTCGCACGCCGATGTTAAAATCGCCTGGTTGCTTTGCCATGTGCCACCGTTGCGGGGTTACTGTGCTGATCGCTGCTGTGAGGGTTGTCTTGGCCGCGTCTCGCAATGTTCCATCTTCGCTGCGTCATGGCAAGAGTGGGTGTGCTGCACGTCTGTGGTTCCACCTCGCTCTGCTAGGCAGTGGAAAAATGCATCCTGTAAGTCCCGTGTCCCCCTCCCTCCTCCTCCACGGCCTCGGCACCAGACCCGCCCCAAACCTAATGCCCACCCAGGCCGGGCGCGCCGGCTCTGGAGATCCCACACCAGCCGCGAACGGGGGGACGCGCACCAAGGAGGTGTTCCCCTCCACGCCCTCTCCTGCCCCCCCCCCTCCCATTCCCTCCCCTCCCCTCCCCTCTCCTCCTCCTCCTCCCTCCCCTCCCAACCTCCCTCCCTCCCTCCCTCCCTCCCGCGTTCCCTCCCGCCCGCCCTCCTCCCTCCCTCCCCTACCCTCCCCTCCCCTCCCCTCCCCCTCCTCCCCCTCCTCCTCCTCCTCCTCCTCCTTCTCCTCCTCCTCCTCGTCTTCGTCTTCTTATTATCATTATTATTAGTATGTTTCTTATTCGTATTATTCTTCTTCGTATAATTATTCGTAGTGTTCTTCTTGATAGTATCATTCGTAATCGTATTATTAGTAGTGTTCTTAATACGATTCATATTATTATTCGTCTTCTCATTATTAGTACTTCCTAAAATGGGCATTCGTGTTATTATCCGTCGTAGTAGTATTATTATTCGTGGTAGCATTATTATCCTTAGTAATGTTAGTATTATTCGTCGGATTCTCCTTATTATTAGTATTAGTATTATTGTGGTTAGTGTTCCTCGTCTTCTTATTCCTCTTATTCATCATGTTATTAGTTTTTTCGTATTATTGATGTTATTCTTACTAGTAGTAGTAGTAGTAGTAGTAGTAGTAGTAGTAGTAATAGTACTAGTAGTAGTAGTAGTAGTAGTAGTAGTAGTAGTAGTAGTGGTAGTAGTAGTAGTAGTAGTAGTAGTAGTAGTAGTGGTAGTGGTAGTAGTAATAGTAGTAATACTAATACTACTGTGATTATTCATAGGATTCGTCTTCTTATTATTAGCATTCATATTCTTCTCAGTATTAGTATTATTCTAATGTGTCTTATTAGTATGATTATTATCATTGTTTTCATAGTATTTGTCTCATCATTGTTATTGTTATTCATCTTCTTCGTCCCTCCCCCTCCCCCTCCCCCTCCCCCTCCCCCTTCCCCCTCCTCCTCCTCCTCTTCCTCCTCCTCCTGCTCCTCCTCCTCCTCCTCCTCTCCTATTGTTATTAGTAGTATTCTTAGTGATAGTATGTGTACTATCATTGTTATGTTACTTATCATCTTTATCGTACTATCAGTACTACCCGTATTAGTATTAGTTGTCTTATTAGTATTATTATTGAATGTGCTTCAACGTATGCTGATTATTGAAATATTACTCGTAGTATGATTCTTATTATCAATATTACTATCATTACTATGATCATTGGTATTATTAGTCTTCGTCCTCCTCCTCCTCTTCCTCCTCCTCTTCCTCCTCCTCGTCCTCCTCCTCTTCCTCATCCTCCTCCTCCTCTTCCTCCTCCTATTCCTCCTCCTCCTCCTCCTCCTCCTCCTCCTCCTCCTCCTCATGCTTCTCCTCCTCCTCCTCATCATCATCCTCCTCCTCCGCCTCCTACTTCCCCTCCCCTCCCTCCGCTCCCACACCACGTCGGCCGCCCCCCTCCCAGGGCGGCCTGAGCCCAGGGTGCAGCTTCTCCAGAAAATCCCAGATCTCCGCGGCCGTCGCCTCGCACTGCGGCCCGTCGAGCACGTCCCGGAACACCACGAAGCCATACTCCTCGAAGAAGGCGCGGGCCTCTTTGCACGGGGGAAAAGGGGTCCCGGGGGAAACTCTGGGAGGGGCGCCCAGGGACTCACAAACGCATATACACACGAATCATATCCCCGGATTCCCTATAGTTTCTCATATGTTCTTGAGTTTCGTCTTCCCTCCCAATTCCCATAGATTCCCATGTTTTCCTGGGAATCGACGATTGTGTGTGTGTGTTGTTTCCCCTCCTGATTTCTGGCGGCCCAATGACCTAGGAAAGGCCCTGGGAGGCATGAAGCGGCGAAAGACATCGGGATCTCTTTCCCAGGCCGTCCACTGCGACAGTGCGGCCGAAAACCGCCCGAACCGACAGCGAGACCAGAAGCGCACGAAACCGAATCTACCAAAAGCGGCCGAGGAGGACGCAACGACGCGGCAACGAAGCAACAGCCGCCCGAGCCGAACCGGACCGAATGCAACCGACTGCGACGCAGCTGAACCGACCGAACCGCGGACACCCTTGCTGAGCCTCGTCGGCGGCAGGCTTTCGGGTCGTAGTTCGAGTCTGCGGCGGCCGTTCGGGACGGTTCGGGCAGTCCAGCAGGCTCCCGGCGAGGCGCAGCCGCTGGAGCGTACCCCGAGGCAGGAGACCTTCCTCCTCCTTCCAGGATGAGGGGGCCCTGGGACACACAAATAAATAGACACAAATAACAGGATTCCCCATAGCTGCCCCATATGTTCTTGGCGTTTGTCTTCGTCCCCACTTCCCATACTTTCACATATTTTCTGGGGAGTCGGCGATTCATTGTGTCTGTGTGTTTTTCCCCCCTCCTGGCAGGAAGCCGCCTGGGAGACCGTCCAGGAAACCCTCCGGGAACGCCTGGGAGGCCAACCCTCGGGGAAACGCCCGGAGGGCAGCCCGCGGACACCCTCGCTCGCTCTCGCTCGCTCTCGCTCTCTCTCTCTCTCTCTCTCTCGCAAGACTTGAGCATTGTTTAACCGATCCCCATGCCGAGCGGCGTGGCCTGAGCCCCGCTGGCCGATTTGCCCCCCTGGACGGGGATATAGGTCGTTCCATTCGGGCTTCGAAGGGCCCGAAGGGGACGGGGACGGGGATGGGGATCGGCGAAACGATGCCGAAGACTCTCTCCGTGGCGGGCCTCGGAGACGTCCGCCACGTCGAAGCTCCTCGCGAAGCGGGGGTCGTGCCGGCAGCGGGGCACCGCCGCCGGCGGCGGGTAGGCCCGCCACTCGGGCTTCTCCGCCCAGCCCTCGGGCCTCTTCGCGGCAGCGCGCACGCGTCGGAGGCCCGACGAGGGGAGGCCGCCCGCACGGGCGCGGGGGCCGAGAGTGAAGGGGCCCTGGGACACACAAATAAATACACACAAATAAAAAGATCCCCCATATTTTCCTATATTTTCTGGGTTTTTGTCTTCCCCCCCACTTCCCATATTTTCCTGGGGATCGACGATGAATTGTGTCTGTGTGTTTTTCCCCCTCCTGAGAGAGTAGGGGCCCAGCAAGGGGGAGGGGGCAGCAGGAGGCGAGAGGGCAGAGGAGGCAGGAGATGGAAGGGAGGAGGGGAAGCAGGAGCAGGGGCAGGAGGAGAGGGGGAACGAGGAGAGAGAAGCGAGGGCAAGGGGGGGGGGGGCCACCAGGCCGCCCGACTGCGGCCAGCAGCTTGGCCTTTGTGGGAACCAGGGCGGTCCTGGAGGTCGTTTCAGGCTCCCAGGGGTCCTCCGAGCACATCGAAGGTCCAAGAACGCCCCCCCCCCGTCCCCAACAGCCACAAAAAGACCGACGCCCCCGCCCCTTTGCGGCGGCCAGCCTCTCCCCGTGCAGGCCCCCCGGGGATGGACCGCTTCTGGAGCTCCAGCTCCCGCCGGCACGCCTGCAGGGTCTCCGGGCTCTCCTCGGACAGGGCTCGTCGTCGCTGCCGACAACGCCCACCTCGCCCTCGCCCCTATCGTTAACCGTCGTCATCCTCCCTCCTCCTCCTCTCCCTTCGTCTCAGAGGCTGCCACTCTTCGGGATGGCTCCTCCTCACCCCGCGCAGTTCCTTAACCCGCGCCCTTCCTTCCCCGCATTATGCACAAGCCAAGGATCATCATCATCATCATCATCATCATCATCATCATCATCAGCAGCAGCAGCAGCATCATCATCATCAGCAGCAGCAGCAGCAGCAGAACCAGCAGCAGCAGCAGCAGCAGCATCATCATCATCATCATCATCATCATCATCATCATCATCATCATCATCATCATCATCATCATCATCATCCATCTCATCAGCAGCATCAGCAGAATCATCGTCAGCATCATCAGCATCATCATCAGCATCATCAACAACATCATCATCATCCTCATCATCATCATCATCATCATGATCAGCAGCATCATCATCAGCAGAATAATAATCATCATCATCAGCAGCAGCATCATCGACATCATCAGCATCAGCATCATACCATCATCATCAGCAGCAGCATCATCATCATCAACATCATCATCATCATCATCATCATCATCATCATCCATCTCATCAGCAGCATCAGCAGAATCATCGTCAGCATCATCAGCATCATCATCAGCATCATCAACAACATCATCATCATCCTCATCATCAACATCATCATCATCATCATCATCAGCAGAATAAGAATCATCATCATCAGTATCAGCATCATCGACATCATCAGCATCAGCATCATACCATCATCATCAGCAGCAGCATCATCATCATGATCATCATCATCAGCAGCAGCATCATCATCAGCATCATCATCAGCATCATCATCAGCATCATCATCACCATCATCACCATCACCAGCATCATCATCATCACCATCACCATCACCATCACCATCATCATCAGCAACACAAGCATCAGCATCAGCAGCATCATCACCACCATTATCATCGTCATCATCATCATCATCATCATCATCATCATCATCATCACCATCACCATCAGCATCATCAGCATCAGCATCATCATCAGCATTCTCATCAGCATCATCATCAGTATCAGCAGCATCACCATCACAATCATCATCACCATCACCATCATCATCATCAGCAGCATCATCATCAGCAGCATCAACATCATCATCATCATCATCATCATCATCAGCAGCAGCAGTATCAGCATCATCCTCAGCATCATCGTCATCATATTCCTCCTCGTCCTCCTCCTAATCATCATCAAAATCATCATCAGCATCATCATCAGCAGCAGCACCAGCATCAGCATCATCCTCAGCATCATCAGCATCATCAGCATCATCAGCATCATCATCATCATCATCATCATCATCATCATCATCATCATCATCATCATCATCACCATCTTCCTCCCCCCCTTCCTCCTTGCCGCCGTCGTCGTAATCATCGTCATCGTCATCATCGCAGCTTCGGCCCGAGCGCCTGGGACCGGACAGGCTGCCGCAGGCTCCCCTCGGGCTCGGGCCACCGCGCCTCCGGGCCTCGGCGCGCGAGCGCCGCGAGCGGGCGGCGCGCGCTCGAGCCCTCCGACGCGCTCCTGGCGAGGGACGCCGGACCGCGAGCCAGAGAGGCGGCGCCAGGAGCGGGCGCCCGCGGTCCTGGCGAGGAGCACCACGGCTCGGCTGCGCCAGGGCCACACGGTGGGCAGCAGGAGGGGCACGCGCACGGTCTGCCCTGTGGGTGCGGCGACTGGGCTTGAGGTCGGGCATGTCCTCCTACAGGCGGACTGAGGACGAAACTTATATCACAATTCGTCCTCGGGCTAATTTTTCACTGCTTCTGTCTTTTCCTCTTGTAGAGGAACATGCCCGCCGTAAGACTCGTGCAGCTGCGGGGCCTGCGTCGGGGCGACACACCGCTCGGGCCCGTGGGCCAGCGGCGCCGGCCGGCGCGGCCGCCAGCGCCCGGGGCCACGGGCAGGCGGCTGGGCCATCGCCCGGGCCGCTAGCGCAGGAGGTGCGCCAGCGGCGCCAAGAGGCGGTCGTGGGCGGGCGCCAGCAGGAGGCGCTCGAGTCGCTGCGGCGTTGCGCGGCGCCCACGCAGGCGGCAGCCCAGAAGCAGGAACCCACCGACACGCTCGCGAAGCTCGAGGTCGCGAGGGGCACGGCGGGCCAGAGGTGGCAAGCGCTGCAGGCCAAGGAGGCCAAGGTACGGGCGGTGGAGAAGCAGCTGGAGGAGCTGCGCGTGGAGCGGGTGCAGGCAGACGACGAGTACGCGGCCGCCAAAGTCGCTGCGCAGAAGGCCAACGCAGAGTTCCTTGCGGAGCCCGCGGGTACGGAGGGAGCAGGAATGGTGGTGGGATCGACCGCTCCCTCGGTTTCAAGATTAGGCGCAATCGACGAAAACGCGGCTGCGTAGTGGAGCAGCTAGAGCAGGTGGTCCACCAGGCGCGGGCCACGGCCAGGCGCACTTCGAAGAAGAGCAGGGTCGAAGGCGAGGGCGCAGGGGGTTCGACATGGACGCAGGCGCGGCTCCACGACAGTGGCTTGGCGGCGACGGACAAGTGCAGGCAGTGCAAGAGTGAGCGCGGAGCCTTCTGGCACATGCACTTCGTCTGCGACGGACGCGTCGCCGATGGCGCGGCGGGACCTCTGCCCTAGTGCCGCACAGAGGGCAGCGAGGAGGGCGCTGGAGCAAGGAGGCAGGCGAGAGGTTCGCACGAGGGCTCTTCCCCGAGGTGACCCAGGCGCGGCTCGAGCCGCACGAGATGAGGGACAAGGAAGAGGTGATCTGGATCAAGAAGCCGCCGCTGGGCTTCTTCCAGGGGCGGGTCGGCCACGGACCCTGAGGACGAGGTGCTTGCGAGGGCAGGACGGTCCATCGTGGTGTGCAGCGAGGCGGGCCAGCTGGTCGGGGCAGTGTGGGGCACGGTGCCGATTGCTTGGGCGCCGCTGCAGCTAGCTAGGTATGGGAAGGACTACGTCGTTCACGTCCTGTCCGGCTGGGCGCAGGCGCCGCTGGAGATTCTCAGCGACTGCGCGGGATCGATACGCTGCGCGGTGAACGTGGGCAAGGCGCTGGCCAAAGGAACTGCTAGGAGGCAACTGTGGACGATGTGGTGAAGGGGACTAGGAGGCCACGAACGAAGATGGGTAATCAAGGTCAAGGCGCACAGGTCGAAGTCGGAGTGTGACGGAGACGGAGCCAGCGCACCAGGGACGGCAATGAGGTGGCCAACCAGTATGCGCGAAGCAAGAAGCCAGGGCACGAAAGGTGAGGCCAGAGAGGAGGCAAGCGGCGATCGGGGCCCGCCACCTGGACAAGATGACGGCAAGGCGGCTAGGATGGCCAGCGGTATGGCTGCAAGAGACGGAGCCAGACGCCGACTGCATCCCGAGCGAGCTGCTGGTGGGCCTGGGCGACCGGCCCCTGGGATCCCTGGCTTCCCGCGGGAAGGGGGAGGGCCCAGGTGCAGTGACCCGAGGGCCTGCCGACGCAGGCGCCAGGGGGGAGCGAGGCGGAGCCCAGAGGGGGGCCGCTGGAGCGGCTGGGCCACCACCTGGCCGAGCACTGCGAGGAGGGAAGGCGCGAGAAGGACTTGGCGCGATGAGGTGCGGAGCGCGCGGCCCGGCAAGGCGTCTGCGCACGCTGCGCGCCCGCCACGGGCTCCTCTTCAAGCTGTGCAGGGGCCAACACGGGCCAGGACATCAGAGGAGGATGGCGGAAGGGAAGCTGGCGGCCGCCTCCGAGGAGGCCAGGGAGGGTGGCTGGGCGCCGCGAGGAGAAGAAGGGGGAGCAAGCCCGCCGAAGGAGGCGGACGGCGGGCTGGGGCTGGGGCTGGGGCTGGACCAGCTCGAAGGAGCTGGAGGCAAGAGACCGCAGGCGCTGAGGGGAGCGCGTGAGGCGTTCTGCGAGGAGGTGGAGGAGACGGCTGGCCTGCGGGGCAGGTCGGCCGCGCTGCTGCCTGAGAGGGCGGCCGAGAGCGGCGGCCCGCGACGCGCGTGTGCCGCTCGGCGGGGTGCGGAGCGTGCTGCCCGTGCTTCGCCGACGTCCAAAACGTCAAAAGCATCAGCATCAGCATCAGCATCAGCATCAGCACCATCACCATCATCATCATCATCATCATCATCATCATCATCATCAGCATCATCATCATCAGCAGCAGCAGCATCAGCATCATCATCATCATCATCATCATCGCCATCATCATCATCATCATCATCATCATCAGCATCATCATCAGCATCATCATCATCATCATCATCAGCATCATCATCATCATCAGCATCGTCATCATCATCATCATCATCAGCAGCAGCAGCATCATCATCA